TAAAATGTTCAATGAAGATGCATAGGGAGGGTTGAGGGATAGTTTTATTTATTGTTTAAATTGGTCCCATTGAGGGGCGCCTGGGTGGCGCAGTCGGTTGAGCATCCGACTTCAGCCAGGTCACGATCTCTCGGTCCGTGAGTTCGAGCCCCGCGTCAGGCTCTGGGCTGATGGCTCAGAGCCTGGAGCCTGTTTCCGATTCTGTGTCTCCCTCTCTCTCTGCCCCTCCCCCGTTCATGCTCTGTCTCTCTCTGTCCCAAAAATAAATAAACGTTGAAAAAAAAAAAATTTAAATTGGTCCCGTTGGTTTAACTTGATTAAGTTTATTTAGACCAATGTGGAAAATGAAATGGTTATTAGATCTCTAAAAGGTCTTTTAGTTCTGAAATTCTCAAGAGGGTAACATCAGTTGTAAAGATTTGGGGGATAAAATTTCTCTGAATATACTTTGGTTTGGTTTGATTTTTCATTTTCTTTTCTTATTCTGGCCAGTACGTCAAGGTCTTTCTTGAAGGAAAAGGTACTGGAGGGTGGGCAACAAGAGAAGGATTTATAGGTGGGATTACAAATTGAAAAAAATTAGTGATTTATAGGTAGAGAGTGGCCTCAGCCATAAGAGTTTTTTTCCTTTCTGCTTTTGGGATAGAGATGGGAACAGTAATAATACTTGTAATAGCTGACACATAATTCTTACTGTGTGCATGGCATTTTTCTTAGCAGTTTATAATTTTTAGCTCTTAATTCCACAACAGCCTTCTGTGGCACTATTATTCCCAGTTTACATCTGAGAAAAGTGAGGCCCTGGGAAGTTAAGTAACTTGCTTGAGGTTCACACAGCTTAGCAGGTGATGGAGCTAGGATTTGAACACGTTCAGTCTTGCTTTGGACCTTGTGCTATTATGACCTAATTTGTTGAATTACTGAATAAATATTTTGAGAATTGAAGTGATAATACTGCTTACACTCCATTTTTGCTATTGAGGTAAAAACTCCAGGCAGGAGTCTTTGATGCTTGGGAGATGCCAATTTATTCAGTAAATGTGTAAAAAAATAATACCTGATACCTGCTTTGTGCCAGACATGTGAAAGTGAATAAAACAGACAAGGTTCCTGCCCTCAAGGAGCTTGTGCTCCACGGGGAAATCAGGTAAACAAATAGGGTAATTTCAGATTGTTATTAGTAGTCTGAAGAAAACTAACTGGTGTAGTAGATTGCAGGAATGGGGTTACACAAAACATAAGTGTCCTAGAGATTTCATGGGGTTGGATACTATCTCCCAAACATTTTTCTCTAATTAGCCCACATCTGAATTTAAAGAGAGTGTCAAGCACAAAAATGAATTTATTGTGCAAATCTTCAGAGCTGTTTATATTCTTTTGAACTTTTAATGTAGGAGTATGTTCTGCTGAAGAAACAAAGCCAGAGAGAAATACGGTTTTAAAAATATCAAAAAGCAATGAAAATGAGGGCAGCCACCATGCATGCCATGCTCTTTGGACTGGTGGAACGGTCCCTGGCTGCTTTCCTTAGTGCATTATTGTCAATTCTGTTTGTTTAAAATATTAGGGCTACTGAGTGTCAGCATATGTGTGTCTTCTATGATTTTTTGTAGGGTCTAGGGCAGGATCCTCAAGTCATACATTACTTGAAAGGAGTTCTGCTGTCATTATAGTTTACAATAACAGTTTTTATACCTAGTGCTTTCTATGTGCCAGACTTACTTATTTGTAAAGAGGAGAAAGCTTAAAGGAGTTAAGTCCTTGTCCAAAGTCATGCAGCTAAAGAATATTAAAGCCAAGATTAAACCCAGGTCATTCTGACACCAGAGTTCATGGGATCTTACCTTTTAACTAGATTGGTTTTAATGGTCCACTTCACACTGAAAAATATGCAAGAGTTTGCAAAATTGGACTTCAGGGAACCTCCTCAACTTTATCCAGTAGGTCCATGTTTTCCAGTTTCAAAATTCTGCAGTGGTTTGATTTCAGAGAGCAAGTAGTAGAGGGGGCATACTTCACAAGTATCTGTTTACAGAAGTAATGTGTTCTGTCAGCCTGTTTTCTGTTTAAATCATTTAATACAGTTAGAATTGGTTTAGATTAACCAAGTTAATTTACAAGATTAACTTGTAAGTACTTTTTTGCATTACCTTGCTTTTTATTGGGTTTGGTATTTGTCCATATGGTTACGTTGTACCTAGCCTTTAATTTGGTACTTTTTATTATTATTTTATATCAACCAAATTCTTTAATCTTAGGGAAATAAAGTAAGTAAACTGCAGATTTCTGACTGTTTAATTTTCACTGTTTCACATTAAGTTTTTGTGATGCTCTATTTTTTGTGATCCTTAAGCCCTATAAACCTTCCATTATGAATTTTGAATTAATTTTATTTAAAAGTTGTTTCATTTCTCTTTTTAGTGCACTGTTAAATTTGGGTAGCCCCTAGCCACATTTGTTAATAAGAACTTGAAATGTGGCTAGTCTAAATTGACATATGTTTTAAATGTAAATATGTGCTAGACACTTAGTCTAAAAAAAATATGAAATTATATTTTTTTATGTTGATTACATGTTGAAACGATAAAATTTTCTAGTAAGCCTCTTAAAGAGGCTTACTTACTAGTAAGTAAGCTTACTTTCTAGTAAGCCTCTTAAAGAGGACTTTTTACTAAAAGTAAAATTAATTTTAGTAATATTTTTAACCTAATAGATCCAAAATATTAAGTTATGTATGTGACTTGCATTTGTGGTTCACATTATATTTCTGTGGGACAGTAGTAGTATGTGCAATCAGTAGCATCATAGGAATTCTACACTATAAGAATTTACCAAGACTAGACAAAACCTGTCATATCTAAATGTCCTTTGTTAGTGTTTTTCTTCTTCTAAAGACTAAAACTCCCCTAATTACATAGTTATCATAATAAAAGTGTTTATTTAAATACTTTGACCTGTATTGTATTTATTTAAATACTTTGATCTGTATCATATGAATTTAAGAAAATCTGTTGCTTGAATAACAAGTAGATACATAAGCCTCCAGTGACATTTCCCCACTCTTCACACCCCCTCCCCCATACAGCTGTTTTGAGGAAGGTATGATTAGAGCTTTCATTAGGATAATAGGTGGAAGAAACAAGCTATTGAAAATAATTAGTTTAATGTGATGCTAGTAATACTGGTCATAACATAACTTTAGTGAGTTTGACTTTTTATGGGAAAGCATAGGTCACCCTGATTCTTGTTTAAGGTATTTTTCTATAGTTTAACAAACATTAATTTGAAACAAAATGGAAAAAAATGAAGTTTCTTTGTATTTTTTTTTTTTTTGTATTGGTTATTTTTTGGTTTTGGTAAAAGTTGATATTAAGAAACTGAATAATATTATTTTAACTTTTTTTATATTAAATAAAAAAAGGTTATTGGGGCTCCTGGTGGCTCAGTTGGTTGAGCATCTGACTCTTGATTTTAGTTTATCGTTCATGGGATCAAGCCCACCTCAGGTTCTGCTAATGTGCCCAGCCTGCTTGGACTTCTTTCTCTCTCCTTCTCTCTGCCCTTCCCCTGCTCGCTCGCGCGCTCGCTCTCTCTCTCTCTCTCTCTCTCTCTCTCAAAAAATAAATAAAAAAACTTTAAATAAATAAAAGTTATTAAGCTTCATAGGGGTAAAGTCTTTTAATAGCCCTATAGTAAGTCTGCTCATAGTAAGTATGAGTAATTTACCAGCTATTGTACTATTCTGAAGGAGGTAGGTGTAAGATTAATTGGAGTCTCTGTAAACTGATCTATAAATGATTTTACACTTGTTAATTTTTTAAAACCTAAGATAACCAATATCAAGGTCATGTAGCAAAATGTGATCAAAAGTTTTAAAATATCTGCTCTGTTATTAGTGTAGATTCATTACTTGAGGTCCCTATCTGCTCTGGGCACATCTTAGCAATAAGTGCTTTTTTATTGGTGGACTGTCTCCAGTAGCCAGGGAAGAGGATGTGCTAAAGCCAAATAGCCTTATCACTTTGTGACTTACCTCCCAATTTTGTTTACTGACAACACAGCCCAGGAGAAATCAGTGATATGTTCCTCAAATTGGGCTTTTTAAGGGATTATTCAGCTAGGGCTGTACTTATATAAAAAACTCTTTAACATATTTTAATACTAATTTTACAGATCCTTCTGCTGAGGAATTGCGAAAGCTAATGATGTTGCATGGAGGTCAATACCATGTGTATTATTCCAGATCCAAAACAACACACATTATTGCCACAAATCTTCCAAATGCCAAAATTAAAGAATTAAAGGGAGAAAAAGTAATTCGGCCAGAATGGATTGTGGAAAGGTAAGTTTAATTTTTAATTAATAAGTTTTTAAAATTGGAATACTTTATATTATAAACACACATTGCCTCTTAAGAGTGAAAAATAATGTCTTAACACCAGTGTACTCTTTAACCTCACATTGATAATTTAGGTAGCCTAGTATGTTAGTGTTCTTGCAACAACCTTAGCTACGAGGAATTAGGGGAGATGACTCAGGTAAGCAGCAGGAAGCAGTGATGGGAAGGGATTGGCTAAGCATGGTATTCATTCAGCAAATGCTTGTGCATCTCTCATGGGCTAGATGGTGCTCTGTGTATTTGGGAATTATCGATGAAGCAAACAAAGATCCCATCCCTACCTCTTGGAGCTTATGTGTTCTATTGAAGAAAACATAATAAACAGTATGCTGGGTATATGAGTAAATTCTATCCTGTGTTAAAAGTACATGCTAAGAGGTAAGAAGAAGACCAGGGTATTGTGGACCTGGAGTACTCAGGACAAAGAGGAAGAGCAGTTTGAGGTATTAATATCTTTTAGTTGTTACATTATGGTTCTTCTGTTGTTGATTTGGAATTGATGTTCTAAATCAGTGGCCATTCGTATTAATTTCCTAAGTTTAAATATGTCATCTGAACCTTGGCAATGAGCCATAACTTAAGTGAATTTATATTTTGAA